TAAGTCTGACATTGTCCCAGACCCCCATTGGCCATGGTACAAGGCTCCCCCTTTTGTGTTGGATTCTGGATTTTGAAGCGGTTTCCCTCCCCAAAACACGAGCAACGGGGGCCAGATCCGGGGGTCTGGGTGCTTCAGCGCCGCTTTCACCCCCGCTTTCACTTGAGCGCCCGCGCTGAGGCGGTCCGTTCCAGCGCGCTGGCCTGTCCGAGACGTATCTCTTCGAATGCGGCCCGGGATCTTCAGGGGGAAGCTTGCTGGACATATGGGCCTCTCTTTTTTTGAGGGAACCAAAGGGTGGCTTTCCTTTGGTGTCACTTCAAAACTGTCGTTTTGAGGGTACCCTTTCCCGGTTGTTGAAGGGACACCGAAAGGAAAACCACAACTCTTAAGATCTACAAGCCATGATCAAACCGTGCTGTTGCTCAAATGGACAGGGCAAAGTATTGGTGGGTTAATCTTTAATCCCCCATGGCGCAAACATGATCAACTAAATGATGGACGTAAATACTAGCAGCAACAATGGCAATTCGCAGGGACAACCAACTTGAAGACCTCCAAACTTGGATGCCCCGGATAGCTCAGTGGTTAGTAGCCCGCAGTTGACCCTCTCCTTAGTTGGTGATTGAATTTGGTGGTATGGATGCTGGGGGGTGGTTTCCCATTTACACAACCAGAAGGGGTACTTTTTAATCCCCCAGCCAATCCAAACGATTACAAGTATAAATTGGTTCCCAAACATAGTCATCCAAGTTCTTCCCCCGTAAGGTCATTCGGATATATGGCAAACTGGTGCATCTCCCAGTGCAAAACGGGTTCGCAGAGTTTACACTCTTATGCTGACTCTCGCCATCCGCAAGACGCACACCCGCAAATCAAGCGAGGCGTGGACTCCGGAAGCCTAGAAGTTGGGAGTCCCACCGGACGCTTATCCCGAAAGGGACTCCCCAAATCAGAGGTTCGATTGCCGGTACTCCAAATTGGATTTGGAATTCAGATTTGTTTGGAACGGCAAGATCTATCCAACGTGGTCAAAGACTGTCTTAGTTCAACCAGTTGGAAGAGACAACCACCCACCTCTGCCCCAACACTCATGAAAGGGAGGGATTCGCTATCTTTGAGACACCTTTATTTTGCGAACTTCCGATGAACAATACATTCAAGAGTGGCCCAAAGGAACCTCCCCCTGCCATTTTTTGGGGGAGACACACTCCTCGCCTTTTCCACTTTGCCCAGGTGGGAGCCCTCCAAGCGGAAGCCGCCCTGGGGCCTCACCAGCCTCAAGCAACCCAGACCTGGGGTTTTAGTGGATTTTGGGAAGAAGGATTGTACCCGAGTGGTTTCCAGCCCTTTGTGGTCGGTTCCAATGGGACCTCCAAAAGGGAAAGGGCATCGCTGTCTGGGGGAATACTGGACGAAATGTTTTTGAGGCTCGGTTTCCTTTTACTACCCATTCTGGAGGTCCGAAATTATTTTGACACATACTCGAATCTAATTTGATGGGGTGCCAGGCACCGATTCTGTTGGTGGACAGTAGACGGCGCAATTTCCCCAGCCCCTTTACCTACCCACCTCAAGGGACATGTGCCATCTGCTTCACTCTTGTGACGCCCTCGCTCCTAGACACATTTCGTCGATGGACAGATCCACGCCAGGCGCCAGTTGATGGGTGGTTAGTTTCTCCCAGTCATCCATCTCGGATGGGAGTTTTGTCCATCTAAGTCACTATCTCGGCTTTTGCCTCCCAACCAATACTATTGAACATCTGACAGCGTTTCCAAAGCAATCCCAAATCAGTATTCTAGCTGAGGGTCGGGTTGGGCGCGTCTGGTTCTAAACCCAAAAAGAGGGATGCAAGCCGACTAGTCAAAGGACACTCCCCCTTTGCAGATGCCGTGGACAGGATACAACTAAACATCACCTGGTACATGCTTTGAAACCGCTGGGAAAGCTGGGTCTTTACTGTGGCCATATCCTTTAATTCAGCGAGCTTGTTGAAGTGCTGGCATATCTTTGCCGACGGTAAGTGACAAAACTAAGCGCGGGGCCCTTCCGGCGACATCGCCACGGGCGCCTGGCAGTGCTTTCTGAATAGGACCCCCGCCCCTTTTGGATACGTAGATTCAAAGGGTAACGGGTACACTCACCGCAAGAGGGGCGCCTGTGTCAGGAAACATGCATTGAGCAAGTGGCTGGTCATGCTTGCAACCAACACAGAAGAACTGAGAAGAACTGCACCAGGGTGTTCGTGGTCAGCTACAGTGGGTCCGGATTCATGCTTGCAAAGTGGCAGTGGGGTTCAAACGTGGGTTGTTTGGCGCCCAAATGATACGAACAACAAACAGTAACAACAAGTGTCTTGGTTAGGTTGGCTTTCTTGGAAAACCAAAGCAACCCCACCATTTTGGGGCGCCGCTCTCTTTTTCCGCCTACGTGCCCAAACCGTTGCAGCACGGCAGCACGGCAGCGGGTTCCCATGCCAGTGTGGCCCCCTCTTTGTCAAGGATCTTCACGAGCCTCCTAGCGGCTGCGATTCCCCTCCCCACTTGTTCAACTTCCATTTGGCGAAGACCCCTGGAAAAGAAATAAAACACATATTTCACGTAGTGACAGTTTTTTTGTGAAACAACAGGGGAAAACAACAAGAACATATTCTTAAGCAAATGGAAGTCACGCGTCAAAGGATCCGAATGCTGCAGCTACAGCTCACCCTTGAACCCGGCACCAACCTTGCTGATTGACCCCGGATCCCATGCATACCCTGGGCCAAGTCAGCTTGCATGGTTCAACAGAGCGAGGCATGGCAAGTCAGCTCTCGCTTTCTGATTGGAGCCATAGGCGTCCTTTTAGGGGAAATAGATGGCCCTGAGCCCTGGCAGATGATTAAACCACCAGGTAAACCAGGAATCACCATGTATTTTCTACCAAGACCACCAAAAAGGAAACCTATGATTGGAGCTTGATGTGGCTACACCCACTGCCAGGCACTTCCGAAGCTCTACGTGCAGATGGGCATGAGCGCCAATGGCAACCCGATTCCACTGGGACGCTCCAGGGCCAAATTGACATGTCTCAAAGTTGGGCACCCCCATTTGGATGAGTCTAAAGAGAAGCCACAAAGGCGACTAACCACTTGTAGTGCTCAATTTTGAGACACATGCGAATCCTTTCATAGCGCAAGGGAGATCGAGGGTCACCGCACGTTGAACTCCCCCAAAAACCATCAGAAGGCCGACAGCGACCTTCGACCTGTGGGTTTGGGTCAAGGAACACGGAGCCTGTGAGAGCTTTCCCAGCAACCTGACTGGTTTGCCAACCAAGGTCTGCCATGGGAAGAAGGGGTCACCTCAATTGAATGACTTGAGACGTTTGGACAAAACGAGGAATATCGAAGAGAACCCCAGAACTCGCTTGGCTGTCGTGGCTTCAACCCAGACTCCCCGTGGTCAGTGGAAAAAAATCAAGGTGGCAACCCTTTGTTTGGACATGTTTTTTAAATGAAAACCCCTCCAAAAGGAGCAAAGAAAACCCCACTTTTCGTCACAGGGCCGGTCCTCCAGGTCTCTGGATAGCCTCAGGCCCACGTGGGAACTCTACGACGCGGAGCAAGGTTTTTGCTTAAACCGCCAAACTCATGGCAAGGCTACCAGGGTTCCTACCTTAGCCAAATGGAGCTGAGCCAGTTGGCAACCTGGCCGACCCAACATAGGCGACAAACATGGCCCTCTCGTGCTCCTTCCGGTTTGGCTACAAACAACTCAGGGAGTTCACGGTTGTTTGGACACCATCTGTATCCTCAGTCGGACAAAGGCCAAAACATGCCCAAATCACTGTGGCTGAGCGGAGTTTCCTTTCAAAAGCTCGTCCTTGTTTGGCACGTGCAAACTGTCCAACACGAGGTACCCCGCGTCTGAACACACCTCATACAGGGTTGATTACATGCTCAAATAAAGCTGCCACTAGAAAACACACACACACACACACAATAACACACACATTATACATGTAAGCATATATTTGTATATGCAATACATATATATATATATATATATTGCATATATATATATACACATATATATAGCATATATATATATATATAGCACATATATATATTGTAGACATATTGATTTACATTGTCCAGAACTCAACAATCAACACACGTCAATTTAGCAAATGGAAGGACAGGGGTCCAGCAAGGATTTTCGACCACTTCTCAGGCACATCCACAGAGGCAATGCCTAAAAATCCCGTTGACTTTCAGTTCCACCAAGCTTAGAGGCCTTACCGCTGAGTCAGGGAGTAGAGCAGGGTTCCCCGATACTAGCGTAGCATCATCACAGCGTCAAAGCGCTCTTCACAATTGTCTTGCCAAGAGGTGCTGCATGCTACAAAGTCTAAGACCAGATGTAGAGCTGGAGCCTGGCACCTCCTCAGTTTCAGACTATCGTTTTGCAAAAAGGACATCCCTTTTAGGCTCCAATGAAATTGCAGCGAATCCCAGGCACAAAACCAGCATGTTTCGCCCACTGCAAATTTATCGCACGCCGGAAACTCTTGGTGCGCCCGATTGGTCCTTCGTTGGTTTCTGGGTCTGGGGGGCTTGGGGCTTCGCTGCCCGTCACTCGCTGAGAGCGGCGCTGTACCTCAGGTGGTCGTAAGGTGTCCGTGAGGACTGGCCGCCTGAGAGCATTCCAAAGGCGCGAGGCCGCGAGGTCGCGATGTTTCCGGGGCCAAGAGGGCGAGAAAAGAACCTGGTTATGGCGCGCATCGTGTGTGTGTGTGTGTGTGTGTGTGTGTGTGTGTTTTTTTTAAGGGGTGGTTTGTGGATATCATGCTTATGGCACATCCGAGGAAACAAACACAGGATTGGTCGACATAGACTCCCATGGGGGGAAAAAAACCGATGTCCACAGCATCCAGCGCCTGAGGCCTAAATTCTCCTTTGCACCTCAGAAAGGTGCGACTGCAAAGGCGCATTTTCCGCAGCTCAGCCGCCCGGCTCATCGCAAGTTGGCCCGATGACTCGACTTGTGCCGCTCGCCCGACGCCGCCTGAAGCTGCCGGCTGAGACGACTCGCTGCTGAAAAAACTCCAAGTAGGCATTTGGAGTCTGTTCTAGGCGTCATTTCTCACCCAGCTACAGCAACACAAAGTCGCCCCCAGTATTCGGGCCTTCTCAACGTCGCCTCCCAAGTGGATTTATTTGACCTGGCCCACAAAGGGGTGCACAGAAAGAAATATGCTCTTACTGTATTCCACATTTGGTCTATCCTATATATAAGCCAATTGGTTTCCCACTGCCAGGCAAGGTCGCCCCAGGAAGCCAAAGGTCGCCCAACTACCAAAAGAGGCTAACCTTGTCAGGAGGTGACCATGGTCATAACCCTCTCACATAGTTCCAAGTCCCCCAAGTGGGCGACCTGGATTAGTAGCCATTTAGGTAAGTCCTGGACCGTCTAAGTAGAAGGGTTGGACGTTGTTGCTCCCTTTGAAAGGGACATAAAAAGCAGGCTGGTTGAACGATAGTGCTTCAAACATGCTGTAACAAAGGGTTGAATCACCCAACCCTGCTTGGATGGTCCGGGAGTCAGCTAAGCGGTTGGTAGCCCACCAATTTACCTGCCAGCTAATCCTTGTTTCAACCCTTGCTTTTCCAACTTTGGATTCGTGCGGAGCCCATACTAATCAGGGCTGATTTCCCCTTTGCTTGGGGACTTGAGTCAGTTTAGGAGGCTTTTCTGGGAGTAGTATGGTCGTCAGCTTTTAATCCGGGGCTAATATCGATTTGCGGTTGCCAACATCTTTGTCGACGTGCCGGCCATCGGTCTCGACTCGAGCCACGCGTCGCCCTTGCCTTAAGCGGGGTTCCGGAAGCGAGGCCCAGACGGCTGAAGTGAGTCGCTGAGCCCAAAGGTCGCGAACAACGAGCCACCTAAAGGCCACGAAAGAGATGCTGGCTCTGACTTCTCTGGTTTCAAGGGATCCTCGCTGGGCAATGTTGGACGTGCAACCACTGTAGTACTGGATCCTTACAGGGAGAGCTTCCCTAATGGGCTGACCCCACATTGCCACAACTGGAAGGCTTCTGCTCGCAAGTTGGAAAGCCTTGGAAAGGATGGGTACGTGTCAAAATCGGGGGTCGTTGAGATGATGGCTTTCTTTTGGGTTTCCTTGAAAAACAAATCATTGAAACGCGAAATGAACCAGAAGATTGCCATGTGGAACGCTGATGGTGCTCCATCTTTGAATCCAACCAAGTGGGGTAGAGGTGTTTTTTTCCTAGAGCTGTTTTGTTTTCAAAGGGCTGACATCCAGGCTGCTGTTGGGCGGGTTTAGGGCTGACTTTGGGTGGATTTGGGGTGGCTTGGAGCTGATTTGTGTTGGGTGTGCTGCTGGTCAAGTAGGGATGTGGTTGTGTAATTTGGAGCGTTGCCCCAAACCACCAAAACTCGCCCACAACTCACGTTGGCGGGTTTTCCTGGAAATTACCACTCAACCCTGGAACCTAACAAGCTGGGAGCCCAAGGATTCATCGCACTTCCAGCGCGCTGCTCGCTACGCGCGGCGCGGCGGCCGGCGTCTTTTCTTTCCTGTCGCCCCTCGGTCACGGGCTCCCGTGCCTCGGAGCGAAAAGGCGAAAAAGAAAGCCCCTGTTCTGTGCGGCAAAACCCACGATGCCGAGGTCGCCCCTCTTTTTCCCCAACACGAGGGTTCCACCAAGGTTCCACCAGGGTTCCACCAGGTTCTGCAAGGGCTGCGGGGTGGTCCGGGGCGGGTTCCACCAGGGTTCCACCAAGGTTCCACCAGGGTTCCACCAGGTTCTGCAAGGGCTGCGGGGTGGTCCGGGGCGGGTTCCACCAGGGTTCCACCAAGGTTTTACCAGGGTTTCACGAGGTTCTGCAAGGGCGGGGTGGCGGGTTTTATCAGGGTTCCACCAGGGTTCCACCAGGGTTTCACCAGCGTTCCACCAGGGGGTCCACGATTTCCACCAGTTCCACCAGGGTTCTACCAGGGTTTTACCGGGGCTCCGCCAGGTTTGCACGGCTGTGGGGTGGTGCAAGCACCCCAAGGGCGGGGTGGTTTGAGGTAAGGTTCCACGAGGGTTCTACCAGGGTTCGAGGGCTGCGGGTTGGAGGAAGGTTTCACAAGGGTTCCGCCAGGGTTCCACCAGGGTTCCAGGCTGCGGGGTGGTCTGGGTGGTTTGAGGGTCCACCAGGGCTGCAGGGTGGTCCGGGGTGGTTTGAGGTAAGGTTCCACAAGGGTTCCACCAAGGTCCCAGCAATTTCTTCGAGAGCTGGGGTGGTCTGCTGAAAAGCCATTGGATCAAGATCGCTTTGCTCATGGGCGGAACACTATAGTGCGTATCTATCAGTTAGCACTTTTTAGCAGGCGGCACAGTTAGCACATCCCTGGGTTGGCCGGAATGCCCCCGTCAGCCCCGAACAGTTAGCACACACCTGCCACACCCCGAAACCGAAAGGGGCGACCAACAGTTAGCACATGCCTCTCTGGTTGTGGGCAGAGATACGCTTTCTGAAACGAGCAACTTTCGCAATGCAGTACAAGTGTAGTAAAGGAAGTACACTTGGCAGATCCGTCTCAAAAGTCGCAACTTTTCAGTACAAGTGTAGTAAAGGAAGTACACTTGGCAGATCCGTCTCAAAAGTCGCAACTTTTCAGTACAAGTGTAGTAAAGGAAGTACACTTTGGCAGCTCCGGCTCGAAAGCCGCAACTTTTCAGTATAACTGTAGTACAGGAAGTACGCATTGGCAGCTCCAGCCCGGACGTCTCAACTTTTCAGTACAAGTGTAGTACAGGAAGTACGCATTGGCAGCTCCTGCCCGGAAGTCTCAAGTTTTTACTACAAGGAAGTATGCCTTGGCAGCTCCGGCTCGAAAGTCGCAACTTTTCAGTACAAATGCAGTAAAGGAAGTAGATTTGGCAGATCCAGCTCGAAAGTCGCAACTTTTCAGTACAAGCGTAGTAAAGGAAGTACATTTTGGCGGCTCCGGCTCGAAAATCGCAACTTTGTGTAGCAAAGGAAGTAGATTTAGCAGATCCGGCTCGAAAGTCCAGTACAAGCGTAGTAAAGAAAGTACACTTCGGCAGCTCCAGCTTGAAAGTCGCAACTTTTCAGCACACGTGTAGTATAGTGCGTATCAATCAGTTAGCACTTTTTTCCTAGGCAGATAGCACATTACTGTGTTGGCCGGAATGCCCCGTCAACCCTGAACAGTTAGCACACACCTGCCACACCCTGAAAGCCAAAACAGCGGTCAACAGGTCGCACATGGGGCTCTCTGGCTTTGGGCAGGCGAACAGAACATCAAAGGGCTACATACGCTTTCTCGAATGTTCATGGAAGCACACGTGTCAAATCTTCACTAAGCGTAGAAACTTGCAGAACCCAGTGAGCCTATGATGGAGGAAGGGTTTGCGGTGGACTGGCTTACATGGAGCTTGCGTGGATAGGTGATGCTTTACTTGGCCCTAGTACTTTGTTGAACGTTATTATTGTGTTACAGTGTTTTCGAACTTTGGCAGCTCCGGCTCGAAAATCGCAACTTTGTAGCACAAGTCTAGCTACGCGAAGTACACTTCCGCAGCTCCAGATCGAAAATCCCAACTTTGTAGCACACAAGTCTAGCACGCGAAGTGCACTTCCGCAGCTCCAGCTCGAAAATCGTAGTGCAAGTCTAGTGCGCGAAGCCCACTTCCGCAGCTCCAGCTCGAAAATCGCAACTTTGTGGTACAAGTCTGTGCGCGAAGTACACTTCCGCAGCTCCAGCTCAAAAATCGCAACTTTGCAGTACAAATCTAGTACGCGAAGCACACTTCCGCAGCTCCAGCTCGAAAATCGTAACTTTGTAGTACAAGTCTAGTACGCGAAGCACACTTCCAAATCGCAACTTTGTAGTGCAAGTCTAGTGCGCGAAGCACACTTCCGCAGCTCCAGCTCGAAAATCGCAACTTTGTAGTACAAGTCTAGTACGCGAAGTGCACTTCCGCAGCTCCAGCGCGAAAATCGCAACTTTGTAGCACAAGCCGAGCACGCGCGAAGAACACAAGTCGCGACTCGCCTTCGCGTTTTACGGCGGCCACGCAAGGGTCCCACCCCAACTAAGCTGCAACTGCAGGGGTCACTGTAGAGCCACGTGTTAACTAACGGTTATCGTTTTTGGGGGAGACCGTATCGTTGTCCGTGGCTTTTTGGAGTCGTAGGCCAAAGAGTACCCCCTTTACCAAAGTGGTCTACACGTGTTTTGTCCGTGGCTCTTTTGTGTCCCACGACTTGTCAGGGTGAAAGACAAGAGTTTGCCAACATACAAATGGATTGCCAGGTGCCAGATTCTTCCGCGTTGACGTGTGGAAATCCAGCAATGCAGCTCCGGCTCGCAAGTCGCAACTTTTCAGTACAAGGAAACTTTGGCAGGGAAACTTTGGCAGCTCCGGCTCGAAGGTCGCAACTTGTCAGTACAAGTGCAGTAACGGAAATACACCTTGGCAGCTCTGGCTCGAAAGTCGCAACTTTTCAGCACAAGGAGATACACTTTGGCAGCTCTGGCTCGAAGGTCGCAACTTGTCAGTGCAAGTGTAGTAAAGCAAGTACACTTTGGCAGCTCCGCCTCGAAAGTCACAACTTTTCAGCACATGTGTAGTAAAGGAAACGCACTTTGGCAGCTCCGGCACAAAAGTCGCAACTTTTCAGTACAAGTGTAGTAAGGAAATACACTTTGGCAGCTCCAGCTCAATGGTCGCAACTTGTCAGTACAAGTGTAATAGACAAAGTACACTTTGGCAGGCAAACGTACAAACGCTCGGGCTCCCGCTTGGGGCGACACGGATGCCACGCAACAGGCGTCAGCAAATCGAAGAGCAACCGCGTTCGAGTTTCTGCTCGGGCCGAGCACGGGTGCCACGCAAGGGCACAAGCAAAGGCAAGCGAAGCCACGCTCGGAATCCCGCTCGGATCCCGCTCGGGCCGAACGCGGATGCCACGCAAAGGCCTCAGACCCTCTTGCGGAAGCCATACAGTTAGCACACGCCAGACCGTCTTGCACCTCGCTTGGCCGTGTCAGCCAGCCAGGATGCAACCGCGCTTCTCCTACAGTATTTGCCGTTTCCTGCAACGGCAGCCCAACTGTCTTGATAATTGAATTTGGCTTTGGGATTCACAAACAACGGGCCCCTAAAAGCCTGGCAACTCCACCCCTGAAAGCCTGGCAACTCCAACCCTAAAGCAATGCTTCCTGCAACTTGAAAGGGCGCCCGTAGAATAAAACGACACTATCAAGAAGCTTGCATTGTCCGAGTTTTGCGTCCAAACGCAAACACATTATCGTAGCAAAACCGTTGGGCCACCAAGTTTCGAAGTGAAGCTGACTTGGGCACCGTGTACAAGCTTTACCCGCAAGACAAAGACAAGTTCATAATCATGAAGAAACACCGTGCCCTGGTTTTACTCTTGAAAGCCCACAAGTTTTGCCGGGGCCGCGCCGCAAACAGGCTTGGGATCCCGCTCGGGCCGAGCACCGACGCCGCAAAGGCGCTGGTAAGGACCAAAGCAAAGCAGACACGCTCGGGATCCCGCTCGGGCCAAACACGTGCGACGTGCCAAGGTGCAGGTAAGGACCAACGCAGCCACGCTCGGGGGTCCACTCAGGCCAACTATGGATGCAGCGCGCAGGCGTAGCCCGCTCGGGATCCCGCTCGGCCCGAGCACGGGTGCCGCGCAACGGCAAGAGCAAAGGCAAGCGAAGCCAATCCCGCTCGGGCGAACGCGGATGCCACGCAAAGGTGTCACTTGCGGAAGCCATACAGTTAGCACACGCCAGATTCTCTTGCACCTCGTTTGGCCGTGTCAGCCAGGACTCTTCGCATTACGCTTGCCAACGCGCTTGTCCTACAGTACTCGCCGTTTCCTGCAAGGGCAGCCCAGCTGTCTTGATAATTGAATTCGGCTTTCGGACATAAAAAGAACGGGCAGCCTTAACTCCACCCCTAAAAGTCTGACAACTCCACCCCTAAAGCCATGCTTCCTGCGACTTGAAAGGGCGCCCGTAGCAACAAAACACGACATTATCAAGAAGCGCGCATTGTCCGAGTGTTGCACCATTTGGCATCCAAATGCAAATGCATTATCGTAGCGGAACAGTTGGGCCATCAAGTCCCGAACTCAAGCTGGGCTAGGACACTGTGTAAAAGCCTTACCAGCAAGAGAACTGCAAGTCCATAATCCTGAAGAAACACCGTGCTCTGGTTTCACTCTTGAAAGCCCACAAATACGCTCGAAGTTTTGCCGGGGCTGCGCCCGCAAACAGGCTTGAGGCCCCGCCCGGGCCGAGCACAGACGCCGCGCAAGGCGCTGGTAACACACAGAGGACCAAAACGGCCAGGCTCGCTAGCCCGCTCGGAATCCCGCTCGGGCCGAGCACGGATGCCACGCGAAGCACCGCTCGGGATTTCCGGGGCGAGCGCGGATGCCACACAAAGGCCTCAGACCCCCTTGCGGAAGCCATACAGTTAGCACACGCCAGACCCTCTTGCGCCTCGTTTGGCCGTGTCAGCCAGGGCTCTTTGCATCACGCCTGCCAACCCGCTTCTCTACTGCAATAGCTG